AGCCAGAAAATCAAGCTTAGACACAATACGACCCTAACTCTGCCCGTGCAGTAGGAATGGGAACATCCCCATGCTTTGCCTCTTCATAACAAAGCCAGAACCTTCCTTGTGGCACTTCCTTGGCTGTTAAGTGTTCTTGCACTGGGGAACCAGGCTAGCCAAGACATCTCATCCCATACGCTTTTAATGCTAGTTGGGGCCTTCTAAAGAAGAGGAAAATTGTCTGGATCTTTCCAAGACACCTAGGTGCAGACAGGCATAGGAGCACGGCGCTTTAGCTGATCAAAAGACAGCTCTGTATTGCACAAAAGGAGCTCCTCTATTATAGGTACTGAACAACCGTATGTGCGGTAAGTGGGTCAGAAGAACAGGTCACAACCAGCATACAAAACCAGGCTGGCATAGAAAGCAGAGCGGGTCAAATGCCCCTGTGCTGTGGGAGGTGGGAACATCACTTGCTGCTGCAGCTCTGTTAGCTAAGGTTCACGTGGAAGTCGGGCTCTGAAACACGGGTGATTGAGCCACGGCCAAGGTTTTGCACAGCGCTCTCATGAAACACAATGTGAGCCGGGAAAAAGACTGTGTGCCACATTCTCTGCATGTAAGCACCTCTCTGGCTTTGCTATCACCAACATGGGTGGCTTTATGCAGCCTGTGTTATCCCATCGGAGGGCTGTGAAGACTACTCCTGCCTGGCTTGGCTGCAGCCTGCGTCGACAGCGCTGTTTGGTGGGCGGCTCACACAGAGTGGGCGCCGGCTGCTGCCACGGTGCTGACACCCATTTTACACCAGCGTGTTGTTCTGCACTCCCAGGCTCCCTGCTTGCTCCCCAGTAGAACCTTCACCTGCACGTTCATCACGTTCTTATCTGTCACTACAGAGCCGAAAAAATTCTCAGTGCGCGAACTGATTCAGAATCATTTATTGCAAAAACAGACAAAAAAATTTTCACCATTTCCTCTGCTGCTTCCACCTCCTGATGCCTGGACTGTACAGCTAAGTCTTCGCTCGCTTGATGGAGGGCTTCTTTACAGCACGCAAGCTCTTTCATCTTTGCCATGATCAGAACAAGTCAGTGCACCTTTGCTATTTCACAGCCTCTTTTGAACTGGGGTGAGCTGAACTTTCTATGCAAAGATTTGACCTCTCCTGAAATCCCTTGATCAGCAATTTCCCTTGCTCACTCTTTCATGCTTGAGGCATTATGAAACACTGGAAACTACACATACTTTCATAAGGAAGTTAGTGAGAAAATTCAAATAATCAACTCAGTCCCAAGAGACTTGGGGTCTCTTTCCAAGTTTGAAAGTTCTTTCCTAACAGAAGTTTTGCTCTTGAAAGTCGTCTGGTTAGCAGGCAGCTGATGGTATAGCTTCTCTGGAGCCTGATTATACTTCCCGCCCAGGGGCAAGTAATAAAAAAGCCTGCCCAGCTCTGTGAGGTCTGAATCAGGTGCTAACACCGAACATCTGCTGGGGCCTCTGCTCTCCTCTCCCCCACCCTCCTTCCATGCGCTGGGCATTGGAGCATTCCCCATTTTATAGCTTGTGGCAACGAAAGGCCAATTTAAGAGGGAAAGCATTGCTGACAGCGTTACCCAAAAAAACCAGACTCTGCTTTAACTGCTCTTTGTCCAGGACTTTGGTGAATCCAACACCACCGTGACATGCTGAAAAATCTGCAGTGTGTGGCAGCCTTTGGAAACAGTTACCAGCAAAGCACTCACAGCCCAACCCGAGCGAGACAAACAGACTCTACACGTACGTTTATTACTTCATACAACCAGATTGCTTATTGTACAAAAATTAACAGTGCCACCCAAGAGGGCCTTCACAGATGTTTAGAAAGAGACACATAAACACAGCTTTAAAACATGTTTTTTATGTAATTTAGGTACAAACTACTGAAGCCCCACACATTGTGTGCGTATACATACGCACGTGTGCGCCTGTAGCTCCATACAGACATAGACCGAACAAATTGTCACAGCAGGCTGTGATACGCTCATACATTGCTCTCTGAGGAATCCAACAACCCTACACAAGGGTTTCCCCCAGTGGGATACAAACTGGACTTACGCTGAGCCCTAAGCTCATCCTTAGGGCCTCGAGTTGCTGCTGCTGTTGGCCTGGCGTTCGTTCCCTCCCTGGTTGCTCCTTGCTGCTCCCCGCTGCTGGCTCCCCTCTTGAGTTAATAACCCCATCTCCAAGCCCACCTAGGTGAGTGCACCAGAGTGACTTGATAAAGATGTGAGGGTCAGCATACAGGGCCAGATCCCCAACCTGAAAAGCCTCAGCAGGGAAGGAATGGTCTCTGTCTTGCGGGGTGCCTGATCTAGCGGGGCCCAAGTCACCAGTGTGATGCTTGGGCACAACCATCGTACATATAACCATCTACAGCCTGGAAACTTTCACTCTTCTGTTCTGCAGCAGTAAAAGATGAATGGACCTGGACAGGAAAAACGTATTTGGGGTAGAAATCAAGACCTTTAAAGAAAAAGACCACAGCACCTGAATAATTCCTGCTAGAGGGAATGCCCAGTACAGTGAATTTTGCTTAACATCCAAGAGGGAATTTTAACGCCTTAAGGTGGAAGGTTCATCAAAGAGCTAAGGAACAAGGAAGGGCGCTGCTGCTTGCAATATGAAACTGAGAAAACTGGTACTTAGACCTTTCTAAGCAGCAACTGCTGAATCCCAGCACTGCTCTTGGGCAGCTGAACAGGGCAAGTTATTGGCACTCATGTCTATTCCCTTCTAGATCTTGCTTGTGTAGGACTAAGCTCCTCGGGCAGCAATGGCCTCTCTAGTGAGAGACGCTGAAGTGCTAATCTGGCATTGGCCACGAAAAATTTGCGTAGCTTTACTAATTTCTACTGCAGTAAAACAAACAAACAAACAAACGTAACGGCTGCAGCCTACAGCTTTCATAAGGAAGAAATGACAGACTGTAGCAATGTTTTCAAAGCTTTCTCTCTACAAAGTCCAGTTATTCCCTGGGAGGAACAGACTAGCCCTTGTAGGAATTTATCCAAAAATCATAAAGACTCAGCACGGCTTCTACTTGCTCATCTTCCAATGCAGAGAGAACTGTTCCTTTTAGTCATGCCGCAGGCATGGTGAATCCCTTCGGCTCTACTGTGCAGTTAGTGCAAACCCGTCAGGAAAGAAGCAACTGAAGCTTTTGTTCTCCTTGTAGATAAACAGGGTAAAAGCTGATGTTCTTCCTGCACTAACCTCCCTGCCCAGGAGTGTAACAGAGGCTAACACTAGCCAGCAGAGATGCTCTGTCCTTTGAAAGATATCAACCAGTCTGGGAGCCCTAGAAGGTATTTTTCTGGAGTGCCACATGGAAACACACTTCTAAAGCCTTGACTGAGTTTCATGTCAAAAGCAAGATTAACAGAATCTCCATAGTGTTCCTCCATGCAAATTGGGACAGCCCTTTAAAATGACAGGATCAATCCGGGACGTGGTCTTCACATACAAAGAAAGAAAAAGGAATACTGACAGACAAAACAGCAATTGTAAAACAGCTTCAAAAGTTGCTCAAATAATCAGATAGATGCTGCAGAGCTGTCATGCACATATCCTGACAGTCCTTGCTATTGAACAGTAGACACGCTTGAGTAGCATTTGCCTTAGTGGTTCACATGTCATGGTCCAAGAGACCAGCGTGCTGAATTACTGACATTATTGGGAACTTCCAAAAACTAGCAAAAAGGAGCAAATAAGGATATATTCCCATTCAAGAGGAGATGTTATCTGTTTCGTACTCCAGTTTGCCACATCTGACTATGCTGCTAGGAGTCTCAGCAGAAGGCTGAAGGGCAGAATACCTATCGAACCGCACAGCAACTCACATCCACCAAGATACTTCCGGCCTAGCTCACAAAACCACCAAAAATTTGAGAGCTTGCATATTCCTCTGTAAATTTAACCTCTCCTTCTCATTCCTACCACGGAAAATGTCCTTCATATTTACCTTCATATGTCAGACTCGCAGCCCAAGTCTGTGAAAAGCTTAAACAGTCAGCATGACAGTTACACTCTCGAGAGGATTTCTCATGCTAGAGTTTATAACTCAACCCTTCTCATCCCTGCACTTGTACGTGGGAAGGGAAGAAACAGATAAGAACATAAATGAGATCGTACAGATTATTTTCCCCTAAATCAGTAACATTTATACATTTTTAAGAAATCTTCATTAAAAAAAAATGAAGCATGAACAGTTCTACAACATTAACAGATGCAAATTCCATTGCCTAGTAAAGCTAGGAAAAAGTTCATGTCTAATCAGAAGAAGTGGAAGTCCACAGCCACGTGTTTTAAAGACAGCCTTGATATGAGTGTCTTTACTGTATTAAACTCTTGGTACTTAAATATTTATAATAATATCCAGACAGCACAGACAAAGTATAGGGTGATACATAAGCATAAAAGTGCAAGATGTAACTTAAATCAAAGTGTCTACTGGTCAAACTGGTACAAACTATGTTCAGAGATGAAGCATAAACCAGACTGAGAGCAATCAAGGCCCTTTTCTTTTTCTCTCACTTCCATCAGAAGTCATCACAGGTAACATCAATCCAGTCTGAAGTGACATCGATTCCAAATGGGTGTACATGAGAGGACAGCCGACCCCATGTCTTGATGGAAAACTGATCCTCATTTCCTCTGTGTAATGCCAATTAATCCACAGGCTTTGCTCTGAATATCCGAGCAGAGAGAGAGACAACAGTAACTTCGATGCCACATTCAAGGGAGGCAGTCAGCAGCTCAACAGAAATGTAGCACTTAAGAGCAGGGGGTACAGCGAGCCCTTGTTAGCTCCTCTGGAGTCACATCCCCCAGCTGATTTATTGATTCCAGCCATGAACGATGACTATGAAGAGGTTAAGTAACACTGCTCTTCATTGGAAAAATAAAAAGATTATCCTCGCAAGTATAATTTTTCCCTTCCTGTTTGTCTTATTTTACTACTTCAGAGATAAAATATCTTTTACAATATCAGCTCATTATTGTGTTCATTCCCTTTAAAGGCAAATGGAGTTTAAAAGATCTTGTCACCAGAAGGGGGTGGGATGGGGGTAGAGGCAGACCTTTTGTTAAACCTTTAAAAAGATTTCTAACTCATTTTGCAAGTGAAAACAACAAAAGTCATAACACTCTAGCAAAGGAGAGCTGTCACTGAGATTAAGCAGATCCAAACTCCACCATCCATTTTTCATACTTCTCCAGGTCTGCAGCAGAAACAGATTTGGAGATTTTCTTCAGAGCCAGCTCAAAGTCCCCCTTGGTAACCGGCATCTGAAGTTCCTCTTTAGAAAGTGCACGAATCTCTTCTGGAGTTAAGCCGTTAATACGTCGTCTCATTGCCATTAAAGAGGCATCCCTGGAAATACAGGACAATGTATGGGAGCTAATTGCTAGCAGCATGTGCTGTAAGCCTATGAATTTTGATTGTATTCTCTTACTAGAAACCACTGGCAGGAACACTTAAGAGAGCATTTATTTACCATAGAAGATGCAGTTCACATCCTTCTTAGCTTCCATGTTCCCAGATCACCACATTAATTCAACATAAAGAATGCACTGGCACCAAAACCCATTTAAGCATATGGTAAATGTGCAGAGATAATTAAAACTATAAAACTGAAAACCTTTTACAATGATTCATAGAGATGAAATTTTACAACTTCAGTGCAGGAAAGGGCAGGGTGGGAAAGAAACTGCACTCAAACACTTTTTTTTTCTTAAAAGTAGTCTGGATTTTGCACCCCTGTCCCCTTAGATTTCAACCCTCTCCCCACTGTGTAGCCCAAAAGCACAATCAGCAAGTGTTCGAGTGCAGCCCAGCTTTGTTGCCTGCTCGCACATAGCACCTGAATCTGTAAAGGGCAGAGCAGGAGGCATCAGACACTAGCGTCATGTGGCCCTGCAGGGCTGAGGCCATCGGTGCCTGTGGCTCCTCATGCTCTACCAGCTCCACAACTCCTCCCCAGCTCAGATGCTGCCAGTGTGGCCCACTGTCATGGAGAACACTGCTCATTTTCACAACACAGCCCACATGCAGTCTGAAATTACATTTTCTCTTTCCCCAGGTTTTCCCAGCAAGGGATAACACAGGCCTCAGGGGGAATAGGTAATTTAACCATTGCACTGTGTGACACACACCAAGTTTTCAAAACCATGGAGTCATTTCACAATTTCAGCAAAGCAGCAGGGGAAGAAAAAAAAATCCCAAGCCATGTCCTTAAAGGATCAGTTTCTCTTGGCAGGGATCCTAACGTTGTAAGTGACATAGACTTCCTACCGGTAAGTTTTTCCAAGTACCTATCCTCCACCAGGAAAGCCTCATTTGTCAAAAAAAGAAACAAATCGTGGGAACAGGATGGAAATAAATTCAATGCTAATGCTATAAGCTACCTGTATCACCCTTGCACCTAGAAGATTCAGGCAGAAACCAAGACCGTGCTGCACTGGGGGCCGTCCAAACATACAGCATATAGAAGCCCCAAAGACGTATTCTGGGAAAGGTTCCTTTGCATCACAAAATTCTAGCTCTTAAACTCATGGGATTTTTAAAAAAAAACAAAACCAAACCTGTTTTGCACTACATTAGCAAATATTCAGTAAATGCAGACAATGCTAACATGAGATTTGCTCAGACAATCTTTTTCTCTTCTTAACCACATCTCATACAAAGACTCCATGGTCTTTAGACTGCTCCACATGACAGGAACACATGGTTCCAGTAAATAGATTTGGGCCTCAAACGTAGTCACTGTTAGCATGGCTGCAGCTGTAGTCGGTATTGCCTTTTATCACGTAATGTAAATCATGACCTTCCATGCAGTTTTATTTGCAAATTAAGGGTGATGAGATACCTGCAAACATTAGTGATGTCAGCACCAGAATAGCCTTCAATCTTCTCAGCAATTTCTTCAAGGCTGATATCAGGATCCAGTTCTACTTCCCGAAGATTAATCTTAAGTAGTTCTGCTCTGCCTTTTGCTACAACATAAAAATACTTGTTTGAAGACTTGCAATAGTAACATTAAAAAAAGAAATAAATATAACTTAGATTTTTCAGTGAAAAGTACAAACAAAAGGGTTTAATGTAAGAAAAGAGACAGAACAAAACATAGTAAAGTGTGCAATGAAATACAGTAAAGTTTATGGTTAAAAGCATACTCTTGAGACATTTTCCAAAGTCATAGGTCATTAAAAATGTCTGTTATGTCTCGGGTGACAAAGCATTTGGTCACATACTACCCAAAGGCACAAAAGCACAATCCTACAAATGTCTGCTTCTTCTCACATCCCTTTGGATTCACTGACTGTTCAAGTGTTTGATTCTATATTATTCACAAAGTTTCATTAGAACCACAATGAGGATTCTACTAACAGAGCTTCAGACAGCACAAATGCCTTAACAGTAGGCTGAACTTTAAGCATATGTTTAAGCACTTTACTCAGTTGGGACCAAAGAAAGCCGCTGAAGCCTGATAGAAAACAGATACATTAATATGTTTACTGTATTAATGTATTTACAATACAAATGTTCTGGTATCCCACTTTCAGACCTAGATGCAGAGCGCACACAGTGATAACCAGCTGCATAAATGAGCACTTATGCAGCTAATTAACCATTTTTCTTGTAGAGGGCATGTGCATATATGCATTTGGGTACATATGTTAAGCAGCCTAGGCTTGTAAGAGGGAATTCACATTTGACAGCTTAGGCCTCACTGCTACTCTGCACAAGGGTGGTAAAGAAAAGGACGAATGCTTTCCTGGCTTTTACTATACAGAAGAATATACCAGCTCAGCATCTTTGTTTCCACAGTGACCAATTTTTATGACCTAGAAAAGAGGACAACCACAACAGAAGAAATAGCAGTAGGAAAGGCTAAAAGTCTTAAGGAAATGTCCACACTTATGTTTTATTTATTGATGTCCCTAATTAAAAAAGGGGGAAGGGGAAATATAAAAGAAATTAGAAAGCTTGTCTAAAGCTGCTGGTTTTGTGTGCTTTGCAGAACTGTCAAGAATATGGAGTTATCAATCACACACAACTGGCACTAGCTATAAAATGGGAATTTATTATTTACAGAGCACAATGTACATACAGCATACCTGCAGAGAGCATCCTGTATCAGAGAACATTCTTCTAATCTTTGCTATGGGGCTAAGCAAGTCCTTGCAGTATTTTGAAAATGGATCACAGTAGAATATATACTTGCATCAAATCCCACAATATACAGGTGTATATATGACATATCATAACCCTTTTTCAATTAAAATGCCTGACCACATCAAATCACACAGCACAGTTATAAATGCATCATTTAGACTTGCCTCAACATTCTTATTTACAGAATAGATGCAACAGAACATAAGATTGGAAATAAAACTGGAGCACATCTTGTATGTTGTCCAGGGTGTAATACACTGTGTCAAAAAACAATCCGGTTTAATTAGAAACAAGAGCAAGAGCTGATAGGATTTTAAACTAATTGGTCATAAAGACAGGCATCCTGTTAGGAGCTGTTACCGCCTGTAAGCTGCAAAGACAAGCTGTAGAACTATTAAGTGTCCTTATACCTGCTAAACTCAATCACAACTGCTGTCACCATGAACACGCATCTTGTTATCTTGAATGCTCATGCAGGGAGATGAGGCATCCAGTGTACCAAGAAGAAATGAAGCTATGCAAACTTCAAGTGATAGGAATCTCAAAATTAATAGGACAGGTGAATGACAGCTAGGAAAGACAATACAAGCCGAGACGTCTTAGGGCAGGAAAGCAATCAGCCTGCTGCATTCTGAGTGACTCAAAGCACAGTCATAAAGGCGAGCAAGCAGTGATTTACAATGAACTAAGCCTGTAAGTGAAAATTCATGGATCCACTTCTTTGCATTTGTCTGCAAGGGCACGGAGTGCATTTGCAATATTTCCGAACATGTCCAAAGGCTGCCTTTGATGATCACTCAAGGACTGACTGTTCAACATTTAAAATAATTCCAGGCTCATTAAAACTAACTCTCTTTCAAAATATAAGAACCCATCAATGGGCTTGCAATGAAATGCCACAGCTCTTTGTTTTCAAGCCCCCAAGCAAGTAGTATTTTTTTTTTCTCTCACTCTCTTTAAAAATAAAGCAACCCAGCCAAATGATTAACCCCTGATTCCTCCCAAACTCAACAGTCCTGCAGTCGTCCTAAGCTCGTCTTGCAAAGGCCATTTTTAAAGGAAAATGCTCGTAGCAAACATACCTGTGGGCAAAGGTATATAAATCCTCTTCTCCAGTCTCCGTCGGAGAGCTTCATCGATATCCCAGGGAAAATTTGTAGCTGCTAATACCATAACCATCTTGGAAGGGTCATCATTTTCCAGAGCACCACCTACCCCTGCAAGCACAACAATTTAGAGAAATTTCACTCCACAGCTCTTACTGATTGAGACGCTTGCTAAGAAACACTGCACAGACAAAAATTGCAAAAGCCTGGATAAAGCTAAGCAACAGCTCTATGTAGTCCTGGTGCTGCTTTCCAAACTTCCCATAGCTTAGATGTGACAAGACCATCATTGTCACAGAGAGGGGGACAGTTCATTCTTTTGCTGAGTCAGGGGAGGGCTTTCATATGTAAATGTAGCCCTACTAGTCCCTACCGAAAGTGCTATCTCTGTCAAATTTGGCCATAGAAGAAATAGGAATCGCTCCTTGGCCTCCCAAATGAGGACTGCAAAGAAATTAACACTTTGGGGCAAAAAGTTGCCTACCCTGAGTTTACCACAACGAACTTGCGCATTTGAGGACATCATAAATAGTAATAACAACTGCAATACAAAGGTGGTTATCAAACCACCACGCCATACAGTATTCCTCAGATGGTCATCCTCGTTATGTGCACCTACACAGAACAGGTACTAAATCTGACTAAAAGGGTAGTATTAGCTGCCACCACAGAACACAGCAAAATCAGATCTCACAATGGTGTCCCCACGCTGGAGACTCTAGCAAAGGGGAGAAATTTGTTTAAATTGCATCAAAATTAAAGACGTGTATTAAACTGCACAAGTCTCCATTATCTGCTTCTCCTAGAGTCTGTGTCTCTTAAACAATACGAGTTTTCAATTTACCATCCAAATGGCCATTTTAGAAAAAATAAAGCAGAACATCCTTTTCAGTCATCTGCCTTCGAACACTCCAGTAAAATACACTGCTCTCAAATTCTGCCTTATTTTTTCCCCATCCATAAAGCCAAGTTTTCCAGATAGCTCAAGTTCTTACATTCCCACCTATAAAGAAACAGCACCCCAGCCCCAAACTCAGATCTAAACACTTTTACCGTCCATTTGCACAAGCAGCTCTGACTTGACTCTGCGACTCGCCTCGTGTTCGTCGGACGTGCCTCTGCGGCTGCAGATGGAATCTATCTCATCAATGAAGATTGTTGTTGGAGCATAAAACCTTGCCTTTATTCAAATGAAAACATCACTATTAAGGCTGCAGCAGCAAGCACAGGCCCTCATCAGACCATGACCCGGTCCCGCTAGACATAGTACATACATATCTTCCCTGCCTGTCACAAGAAAACAATTCATGATCTTGATTTACAAACTGGCGTATGGTTAAGTTTAAATTGTACTCCTCAAGTCAGGAGTCTTTCAGTGTTGGTCAGTTTTCCCCAGCAGCTAGTCTTGCAAAGGGCAAAAAGAAATACAATCAAAATACAGGCGGTTTTTCAGGTCCAGGTTTTTCTGCAGTGAGGGAAAAGCCCAGGGGACAGAAGGGAGCTCAGCCTGTGTCAACAGAGACAGGTTTTAACTGACAGTATGGTAGAAGTGCAGCAAGGATCCCAAAGAGGTGAATGACCCTTCAGCATAGGTCCACATGGGCACATCCTTCACACACCCTGCATGATGGACTGCACCCAAAACTTCACTGTGAGGTTTGTGTCCATCATTCAGAACAGAAACAGAACCAAAACATGTATCGCTTCTAGAGTAACAGTTCCCCATCCCTTCCAATTTCAAATCTACTTCCTACAGGCTTATCCCATAACTGAGTAAGAACTGAATTTCTGTCAAGGTCATGACTCTACGTCTAGTCTGAAAAACGCTATCCTAAACATGGGTGATGAACCATTTCCTTCTTAATTCTCAACGACATATTAGAAAAGGACGGAAACAAAGAGACACTGCTTTTCTGTCTGGTTGAGGAGGTGTCAGTACAATGAACTCCATGCTTCAAACATGCTACTAGAGGGGCAGGAAACCAAGGGAGATGTCCCTTCTCACCTTAGCGATCCCCAGATCACATCATTGAGGACATACCATTTCAAACAAGAGACGGACCAGCTTCTCAGACTCGCCCCTGTATTTAGATGTCAGGGTAGAGGAAGACACATTGAAGAATGTTGTTCCACATTCTGTAGCAACAGCTTTCGCTAGCATTGTTTTGCCAGTGCCAGGAGGACCAACCATCAGCACACCCTGAAAGGTGAAAACAAAGGTAATGAACAACAAATAAACTTTGCCATTGGTACTCTACACTACATCTCAATATGATCCAAGATCTGTATTTTAATTGTTTAATAACATAATTGCCACCAGTGGAAAACAAAAGACAAGAATCCTGCTTTCGAGAACAGTTTGGAAGTGCTCTGGGATTTATTCTTCCCACCACTTCACTGCAGTATGAATCACAAAAGCCAGTAACTGTTGCTGCACCTATCACCTGGGAAGCGGACAACAGATTTACGGTCTTGCTCTGAATCAGACAGAGCCTGGACTTGAACTCAGGCCCTTCCCAACTCACAAGGGGCTGCACATGCAGATGAAGAGTGTGAATTCTTTGTTTTGGAACAAAGGCCCCTTCACGAAGAAAGCTTCACAGAAACCAAAATACTTTTGCAGAAAGTTGTATTCCCTCAGTAGAGCATTTTCCTGTAGAAAAACATCTTGCCAAAACATCCTGATGATGTATATGTATGAATCTGATGACTGATTTTTACATTTAAGTATGAATGAGAGCATTCACTGAAAACAAGGGTTTGTCATACTGCTTAATCTCTCCATCTCAGTACTTTTACGGCCATACTACTGCATCTTAGCAATTCTTGAATTAAACACCATCCTCACCACACTGTTGGATGGCAGAAGAGCACTGCTATTTCTATTCCACAGATAAGCCACTGTGGCTTATGTGGACTACCACTCAGTCCCGCAAAAAGCCTCATATGAACGTCAGTGATTATTCAAAAAGCTTTAAATTAGAAAACTGAACTAAAATTGTTAAGTCCCAGGTTGGCATCCTCATCTGTGGTCTACCTGAAAGAGAGAGTAAGGAGCACACATCTCTGCAGCTCAGCACATTTACCTATCATTACGCAAGCAGTTTTTTATCTAGACACATTGTGCTCTCAGGACCCATGTTAAGATTGTAGCACTGAGACTGGTTAATCACTCTTGATAATACTTCTAAATACAGTTATCTTTCCAACCTTTCAGCAGCAGTGCTGGGGAGGGACAACACACTGTTCCATCCCTGTACAGCACTAGAATAAGGCACTGTGATTTTGAGCATGGCATTATGAAAATGTAGTGCTCAAGGAGCTTGGGGGTTTTTTTCCCTCTCAACCTCAAGATCTTATTCCATGCTAACAAGAGTTTCCTAAAGTAAAGTTGTACTGTGTTGCAAGAGTAATCAAATTAGCTAGAATTAGAATTGCACATCATAATGTCCTTTGCAATTAATAACTTACATAAAATGCCACAGCAATAAAATATCTGTTAAATGCAAGCCACAAAACAAATTAGATTTCATCTGTTCCTCACAAAAATTTACATCAAAAAGCACAAAGAATGACATGGGAGAGATCTATAAAAACAAATCAACCGGGAATGCAATTATTCAAAAATGTACTATTCACAAGCAATAGCCTCTCTGTACTCCATTTTCCATTAACTCTTAATACCTTTATTGCCATTTAACACTTAGCTAATGCAAGCTCAACATACATTCATTGGTAAATTAAGTTAGAAATGTTCACACTCCATCCATACAGCTAACAGTCCAATGTCACTCCTCAGGCTGCCCAAGGCTTCCTAAGCTCCAGAGCAGCAAGCATAAAAAGTAAATGGACACTTTTTCTCCCCATGAACATTCAGACATATACTGTGATTTCAGTTGCTGCATAGTCATACTGATATTATAATAATATTGCAAGTACAACCCTGGAGTAACTGGGTGAAAATTACTCAGCCTGTGATATGCAGGTCAAAGATGAATTACTATTCTCTCCAAGTTTCAAATGTGTTTATTTAATATTTTAAAACAACCCTCACCTCAGTTCAAATCACACTTGACTTCTGTGTTTGACAAACTGTGTTTACTGCAGGACCTGGTGATACAAGGGACTAACGTCATTTTTTGGATATTGCTTTGGTCCTCCATTATTATGGAAGGTCAAATTCTGGCTTCAGCTACACATGCCGCTCACTGCTGAAATCGAAGCCCATCGCTTTGCACCTCTTGTGTAACTATTACAGTGAGCATTACCTAGCACATGATACTGGTGGCATTATGTATATGCGTAACACAGGTGCAAAGCAGCCACACCAGGTGTAAAGCCAGGGGAAAACCAAGCTCTCTGGGGATAAAGACGATAGAAATATCAGTTAAAAAAAAAGAAAGAAAAAAAAGAACTTGAGTTCTCAGCAAAACAAGATGCTCATGGTTTCAAACAGAAACACATAGGATCACATTGCTCCTTCTCTCTGCAAACTAGGAGGCTGCCACTTACTCACTAGTTAAAATCCTTGACAAACACAAAGACTTCTTTATTCTTCCTCTAAGGCTCTGTTAATCCAAAGTATTCCAATACGAAGCTGAAATGCACCACAGGGAGTAAGTGTTTTGATGAAATCACTGCAGGGTTACTTCTTGTTGTTGTAACAATCACTAGCAAAGCAGTGGGAAGCACAGTGAGCAACCAGGCCTTCTTGGCATAAAATAGTTCGGAGAAAAAGAAAGAGCAAGCCCGTGGACACTCAGAAACCCATGGCTGCAAATACCAGCACCTGTGTTGAATCAGGGAAGACAGCTGGCTCCTTCATACAAGGCACCATCCTCTGAATGCAGGCACAGACTGTGAGGGCTGTCTTGGGAATTGTTCTCAGGAGAGTCTAAACATCCAAAACCAGATTTGGCTGCCTTTTCCCTGAATTATTGTCCTGAATGCCTAGGCTTAACAAATGCCTGCTGCTACACTGATTACTGCAAGAAACAGTCTTCCCTTCAAAACTTCTCATCCTTGTAGCACAGTCAGAGGTCAACAGTAGGGAAAATACATGCTGTTTTGTGTGAAAAATAAATTCAGAAGAGTTACAGCTTCACAAGTCACCAGGGAAAAGGCTAACAATGAAGACTCTTCATGGACTCGTCAGAAATCAATTTGCATTTCAGACTGAAGAGAGGAAATAATCTTAGAATTTTTTTCCATGTCTACAACCACCTAGTTTTCAGAGGCGACACTGCTCAGTAGGAAAAGATAATCTCGCGCAGAGATGGAGACTGTAACTCTTTAAAAAAGACCAGGCTGTTGTTTCTTTATCCACTGCCACAATACTTGGAGACAGGGCCAGTGGCACTCTTCACGCTCCCTGCAGTCTGCTGAGATACCTGCCTTAAAGACAGATGGCCACTACATCTTTTAGGTATGTTAATAGGTGAAAAAAAGCACAGTTCTTCACTCCCTTAGAAGTTTTTGAGACTGGACAGACGGGGCCCCTGTAGTCTGTAGTAAGGGTATGGATCAACTTCCTCTATGCCAAGGGGAAAAGACAGCAATTCAGCTGTTTGAAAGACACTAAAATCTCGCCTGACACTTGTAACTCACAATATCTAGGCTCTGTCCAAGCTGACAGCTCGGTTAACCTTAAGGTGAACCTCAAGGCCACTAGTACTGACCAAAAGCACTCAAAATCCCAAAGGCCATATAGCCTGGGGCTAGGTTTGGGCTGACTCTAGGTTTGCAACTCACTAAATCTCCAACTGCAACTCACTAAAACCCTGCAACTCACTAAAACCTCCAAGAATAGCCCTCAAGCAGCAATCTCCCAGCCGCCGCCATCAGCTCCCGCTCTTTCTGGCTTCTTCCCGCTCTTACTGACTCTTTACTGTCAGTAGACACAAGCCCCAAGAATGACAAGTCCTCCACTCCTCACTTCCCACAGGGCTTTGTTTTATAAATAAGCAGAATAACGGGGATCTAGGACTGGCTCAGGCTGGAGGAGGACAGCTTTGAAGGTCAGACCTAAGTGTAAGCCAGAGAAGTGCAAGGACCAAGCAGGAAAAGACAGGGCAAGTGTTAGTAACACAAGATCTGACATATGCTGCTGAAACAG